TGAGCCCAGGAGTTGGAGGTTGCTGTGAGCTGTGATGCCAAGGTACTCTACCCAGGGGGACAGCTTGAGGCTCTGTCTCAAAAAAAAAAAAAAAAAGAAAAGCTGTATTTTTCAATGCCAAATCCCCAGTTCCTAGCTTGTCACAAGTTAGGTACTCAATATATGTTTGTTGAATTAAAGTATGAATGAAGATGCAAAAATGAACAAGAGACTGCCCTACTTTTTTTTTTAAATAGCATCAGTTATGTTAGGAGAGACTGCCCTATCTTTAAGAATCTTACATTCTATTGAATAGAAATTGATCTGTAGACATAGCTGTAACACTATGTTAAATACTGTCATAGAATTTGTAAAGCATCGCTAGGGCTTAAAAGTGAGAGAAACAATTCTGAGTAAGTGAATGAGGTGGGAAGGAAATAGCATTTGGGGTAGGTTTTGAGGAATAAATAGTATTTTTAATGACTTTCTCACTTTAAAAGTAATAGCTTCCTTTTTAAAGACAATTTTGAAATATATAAATATAGACAAAGACAACCATTATTAACAATTGGTGTCATTTCTTCTGGTCCTTTATTATAATGTACATCAGAGAAGTTGGACATACTATTTTTAACTTAATACTTAAATTATATATAAAGTTTGTATTTACAAATATCTTTTTCCTTTTAAATATATATCCTAAGTATTATGTTAGCTTATCAATAATAGTCTGAATCATCCTAATGCATGGATTGGTTTATTTAATTGTGTCTCTATTGTTAGGCATTTTTGGCTGCTTACTAGTTTTTACTATTAAAGAACAATGCAATAGTTACATAAACTGAGTATGAAGGTTTCCCTGTATTTAGGATTATTTTCTTTATACAGATTCCAAGAAATGAATAATGGACCAAGAACAAACATTTGTTCATATTGTTAAATTGCTCTGAAGAAGGATTATAATAATGTATTACTTTTCTATCAGACTGTAAGACAGTGCCCATTTAACCAAGACAGGGATGATTTCTGTACATGGCAATAGGTTTCAAGGACATTTCAGAAAGATAAAATGGCATATACAAGGAAATCAAAATGGATAAATATCTGAGAATATAGTAGAAGATGTGTCTAGAAAGCTATGTTGAAGGCTAGACAATAGGGAAACTGGAATGCTTGGTCAGAAATTCAGACTTTATTTTGATGACAATGTGGAACTATCTAGAATTTTTGAGCATGTTTTGACAAGATCTGTATTTTAAAAGATGCCTCTATAGCTGAGTAGACTAGAACCTGAATTACAGTAGGGCCCTTGAGAATGGAAAAGAGAAACTATACATATAAAATATGATTCAGGGGCTAAATGGACGGGGCTGTGGGAGTTAAGAGAAGGGGAGTCCAAGATGATTCCAGGGCTTAAATAATATGAAGATAGGGCCAGATGTGCTGACTCATGCCTATAATCCCAGCACTCTGGGAGGCCAAAGCAGGAGGATTGTTTGAGGCCAAGAGTTCAAGACCAGCCTAGGCAACAGAGAATTACCCAGATATAGTATTGCATGCTTGTAGTCCCAGCTACTCAGGTGGCTGAGACAGGAAGATCACTTGACCCCAGAAGTGTGAGGTTGTAGTAAGCTATGATCACACCACTATACTTTAGCTGGGCTACAAAGTGAGACTATCTCTGACAAAACAAAACAAAACAGGGAGGTGCCTGTGGCTCAGTGGGTAGGGCGCCGGCCCCATATACTGAGGGTGGCGGGTTCAAACCCAGCCCTGACCAGCTAAAATAGCAGTGACAACTACAACAAAAATAGCTGGGTGTTGTGGTGGGCGCCTGTAGTCCCAGCTACTCGGGAGGCTGAGGCAAGAGAATCACCTAAGCCCAAGAGTTAGGGGTTGCTGTGAGCTGTGATACCACCGCACTCTACCAAGGGTGACAGAGTAAGACTCTGTCACAAAAATAAATAAATAAAAAATAAAAAAAAATGTGAAGATGGTAATGTATTGCCCCAAATATGGTTTTCCCTTGATCTTATTCTAAAATCCTTTTCAGGGATGTAGGATGAAGGGAGAGTTGGGAGAGTTTTTTTTTGTTTGTTTGTTTTTTTGTAAAGACAGAGTCTCACTTTATCGCCCTCGGTAGAATGCCATGGCATGACAGCTCTCAGCGCCCTTTCCCTTTCCTGGGCTTAGGTGATTCTCTTGCCTCAGCCTCCCAAGTAGCTGGGACTACAGGTGCCCGCCACAACACCCAGCTATTTTTTTGTTGCAGTTTGGCCAGGGCCGGGTTTGAACCCGCCACCCTTGGTATATGGGGCTAGCACCCTACCCACTGGTGCTGCCCAGGAATTTATTTTTCAAACAGAATTGCCAAGGTGGAAGTTGGATGGGAAAGTCTGTCACCTAGCAGAGAAGTCATTTTTAGAGATTGTGAACTGGAAATCATCAACATAACAGCAGTAGTTGAAACTCAAAGAAAGAAGAATCTGCTTTGGTATAGCAAATTCATGTAAGGAGCAGGTGGCAAAAAATAATCTAAGATACGAGGCTAATGCTGATGTAGGGAAATGAAATCAGGTTAGCACCATGTCACTGATGTCATAGAAGTTAAGTGTAGTACAGAGTTTATAAAGCAGAGAAGTATTTTGCGTTTCCATGCCACTGCATATGCTTTTTGGGTCACCAAGCAACTTTCCAAGCCCTAACATACTTTTCCCCTCCAACACATGAGAAATTCCACTTACCTGAAAACTTAATGCAAGTTATGTCTCCCCCATGGAGCTTTGGGCAGTGAAGCTTCTCTTCTGCTATAGGCCCGAAGCCACTGAGATGTGCATTATTATAACATAACATGTTGTTGTACTGTTAAAAGATACATCTAAGTCTATGTTTAATTGTGAGCATCTTTAGGACAGGATATTTTCTAATTGTTTTTTATATCACCAGGGCCTAGATTATGCCAATCGTATTGTAGATGCATAGGAAATGCTTGTTGAATGAATGAGTACAGAAAAGAAATTTTGAATTTCAACACTAAAATATACAGATGATCTTCAAGAAGAGCAACTTCACTAGAGAAGAGAATTTAGAACACCTAGGGAGCCTCTTAGAAAGTCAGTAAAGCATGAGGGAAAGTATTACTTCATTTAAAAAACATGTCACTGGTCTGTACCCAAGATGATCAGTGCTGTGAATAGGTTAACAGTGAACCAAGATATTGATTCCTCAGCTACTTCCAATGTGCTATACAAATATCATCATCTTCTGTGTGTGCCACAGCACGAAAAGGTAAGAAAACACCTTTTCATTTGTTTAAGATTTATAGACTATGAACTTCTAATAAAGATTTGAAAGGTATGATGGGTTGAATTGTGTTCTTCCCAAATTCATGTTGGAATCCAAACCCCCAGTGCCTCAGAATGTGACCTTACTTGGAAATAGGGTTATTGTAAATGTAATTAGCTGGATTAAGGTGAGGGCATTAGTGTGGGTCCTAATCTGATATGACTCATGTCTTATAAAAAGGGAAAATTATCCACAGAAACAGACACACACACAGAGGGAATGCCACATGAAAAATGGATGCAGAGATCAGGGTGACACATCCACAGGCCAAGGAAAATCAGATTATCAGCAAAACTTCTAGAGGATAGACATCATTTTTCTTTACTTTCTTTTTTCAGTTTTGGCCAGGGCTGGGCTAGAACCTGCCACCCCTGGTATATGGGGCCGTTGCCCTACTCCTTGAACCACAGGCACTGCCATTTTTCTTTAATTTTTTAAAAAATACTTAGTTGGCAAATACTATATATATTCAAGAAGTACAATGTGACATAATTATCGCCATCAAATCAATTATACATTCATCACAACTCATGCTGATCCCTAGAACTTTTTCATCTTATAAGAGAAAGTGTGTACCCTTTGGTCACCATTTCCCCATGTCCTCCATCCTCTAGATCCTGGCAACCACAGATCTACTCTGTTTTTATGAGATTAACTTCTTTAGATTCCACACGTGAGATCATGTAGTATTTTTCTTTCTGTGACTGTAAACATTTTCTTCCTCACAGCCCTCAGAAGGAACTAACCCTCCCTGCACCCTGATCTCAGACTTCCAGCCTCTGGAACCAGGAGGGATAAATTTCTGTTGTTTAAGCCACTCAGTTTGTGGTGCAGGAAGCTAACATAAAGAGAGACTTCAAGTGTGCTTAAAACTCAGTTCTTCATATTTCCTCCCCCTTTTCCCTCTAGGAGTTATATTCCTTTAATCTGTAAATTATATAGATGTCAGTTCAATACATATATTGAATGGCAAGGGGCCATTAGGTGCCACATGGGTGCTGCTGAAGATACTCATAGGCACATATAGATGATTAGAGTGACACACAGGTAAGTGTACAATTTAAATGTAATACATGAAAGGCTGTGATCCTGCATACACAGGACCTTTTACAGTATAGAAAAAAGACATTTTGCTCAGCCCAAGGATTCAGGAAAGACTTTGTAGGACAGATAATGGCTGAGCCACTCTTGAAGGAAAAGGAGGGGAAAAACCAAATGAGAGAGAACAAAGGTGTAAGGATGTTCTAGGCAAAAGGAACTCATAACCAAGATCTGAAGATACTAAAGATAAAGTAGTATGTATGGAACTATAACTGTTTATACCTCATATAACCTAGTTAACACTCTAAGTGGCACATATGAAACAACAAATGCCAGGATTTGAGTCTGGCAAGGCAGGTAAGGATGGCAGCAGGGAAGACTCCTCCTCTCTATCAGGGAGCTTTAATTTTACACTGATACTAAGTAGAAGAGTGATCAGCCCAGAGTCATTCATATTTTAGACACATCAGTTTGGGCATGGTGCGGTGGCTCACGCCTATAATTGTAGCACTCTGGGAGGCTGAAGTGGGTGGATTGCCTGAGCTCAGGAGTTTGAGACCAGCCTGAGCAAGAGAAGACCCCATCTCTAAAAATAGCCAGGCATTGTGGCAAGCACCCATAGTCCCACTATTTGGGAGGCTGAGGCAAGAGAATTGCTTAAGCCCAAGAGTTTGAGGTTACTGTGAGCTGTGACACAAAGGCACTCTACTGAGGGTGACAAAGTGAGACTCTGTCTCAAAAAAGAAAAAAAGAGACACATCAGTTTGGCAACAGTATGAAAGATGGATTAGAGAGTAAAGGGAAGAAAAAGGAGTTAGGGAGACACATTAAAAAGCAATAGCAATATTCCTGGCAAGAGGTAAACTAGAGCAGTAATAGAAAATGAAGAAGGGACAAAATAAACAACATATATGAGGTGAAATTAGTTTGTTGCTTCATTGGACCTTGAGGGGTCAAGGATGAGTCTGTAGTGTCTCATTGGGTGACTGCTGTGTGGTGTTGCCACTTACTGATATGGGGATTCTGAAGGAGAGGCAGTGTGGCAGAGAGGATTCTGAATTCCTTGGACAAACTGAGTTTGGAGAGATTTAATATATGTAAGTAGATATGTCCAGGTGAATCTCAAGTTCTAGGCAGATGTCATAGCTAGAGCTAGAGATTCAAAAGCCATCAGCATATAGGCTACAGGTAAAGTTATAGCAGTAGGATGATGTCACCCCAGAAAAAGCAGAATAAGAAAAGTAATTGGCAGAGGACGGAGTCCTTGGGGAAATAGCAACATTTAGGGGCAGCAGAGTATGTGTTCATAAGAGAGACCGAGAAGGAATGATCAGAGAATCATGAAAACAAAGTTAAGAAGGCAGAATAGAAAGTAAAGAAAACGACAATTTAGGTCATTTTGTAAGAAGGTATTAGCTTATTGTCAATATCATAACTGTCATGATCAAAATCACATGAGACTCTTTGTTGAGGGTCCCTCAGATTCCTGATTTTAATTAAATATATGTTAAAGTGCAAATATATTATCTATTCTTTTTTTTGAGACAGAGTTTCACTATGTCGCCCTTGGTAGAGTGCTGTGGCCTTACAGATCACAGCAACCTCAAACTGTTGGGCTCAAGCAGTTCTCTTGCCTCAGCCTCCCAAGTAGCTGGAACTGCAGGCGCCTGCTCCAATGCCCAGCAATTTTTTGTTGCAGTCGTCATTGTTGCTTAGCTGGCCTGCACCAGGCTCAAATCTGCCACCCTTAGTGTATGTGGCTGACGCTGTAACCACTATACTATAGGCGCTGAGCCAGATTACCTGTTTTTCACAAGCCAGTAGTCATTCCCATTAAGGTTTCCATAGCCAACCACTAGTACTCCATGATTTACGACCTGAGTACAGGCAGGCTCGTAGTAGACACCTGAGTAAGGGAAAAGGTGAATGTTATATGATGATCAAAGACATCCCAAATATTACTTTTTATTAGACTGTTTTAGATACATACCAAGGTTAATTAAATATTAGGAATATGTACTCTCATGCTTAAACTATTTGGGGTTCATTTTTCTTTGCCACCAAAGCTATTTGTCAGTTTTCTTGCCAAATTTGTCATCAATCCAATCATACTTCCCTCAGAAATCTTCTTTGATAAGCCACCACTTTTTCTAATTCATTTTTAACTTCTATACAGTTATTGTATTTCTTTGTGTATACAGAAATACCACGTTTTATTGCACTTTGCTTTATTGCACTTCACAGACACTGCATTTTTTACGTGAAGATGTGTGCCAACCTTGCATCCTTCAAGTTAATTGGCAGCATTTTCCCAACAGCATGTGCTCACTTCATGTTTCTATGTCACATTTTGGTAGTTCTTATAATATTCAAACTTTTTCAGGATTATTATACTTCATACCTGTTTGGTGATCTGTGAGCAGTGATCTTTGAGGTTGCTGGTGTAATTTGGGGGAAGGAGACACCATGAATAGCACCCATATAAAATGGCGAACTTCATCAATAAATGTATGTATTTTGACTGCTCCACCGTCCCCCACTGCGCACTCCCCCATCCCTCTCCCTCTCCTCAGGGCTCCCTGTTCCCTAAGACACACTACTGAAATTAGGCCAATGATCAGGTTGGGCACAGAGGCTGACAACTGTAATCCTAGCACTCTGGAAGGCCAAGATGGGTGGACTGCTTGAGCTCAGGAGTTCAAGACCAGCCGGAACAAGAGTGAGACTCCCATCTTTACTAAAAATAGAAAAACTAGCCAGGTATTATGGTGAGTGCCTGTAGTCCCAGGTACTTGGGAGACTAAGGCAGGAGGATCACTTTGAGATTGCTGTGAGCTATGACGCCACGGCACTCTACTCAGAGTGACAGACCTGGTTGGGGCACCAGGTGTCACTGTGTCTCCAGGGATAGAGTACAGTGGCATGATCATATTTGCAGTGAACTGTGATGATACCACTGCACTCTAGCCAAGGTGATAAAGCCAGACTGTCTCAAAAAATACCCTCAAAAAACAAAAACCAAAAAAAAAGCTCATGCTTCAAACTCCTGCCTCGGCCTCCCTAGAATTCAGGTAGGGTGCACTGTGCCCAGCCTCTCTAAATCAAAAGCTAGAAGAGTAAGCTTTTTAAGGAAGGCATGTTAACAACTGAAATAGGCTGAAGGGTAGGCCTTTTGTGCCAGTTAGCCAAGTTGTGAATGCAAAGGAAAAGTTCTTGGAGGAAATTAAAAGTGCTACCCTGGTGAACACAGGAATGATAAGAAAGTAAAAACAGCCTATTGCTGATGTGGAACACACTTTAGTGGACTGGATAGATTAAACCAGCCACAACATGCCCTGAAACAAAGCCCAATCCAGAGACCCAACTCTCTTCCATTTTTTGAAGGCCGAGAGAGGTGAGGAAGCTGCAGAAAAATATTTGAAACTAGCAGAGGTTGGTTAATGAAGTGAAAGGAAGAAGAGCCATCACCACAAGCCATCACTCTTTCTTATAAAAGCTCAAGGTGAAGCAGCAAGTGTTGGTGTAGACACTGCACCAAGTTTTCTAGAAGTAGATAAGACCATTGATGAAGGTGGCAACACAAAACAACAGATTTTTTATGTGGAAAAACATGCTTATATTAGAAGAAGATGCCACCCAGGACTTTCATAACTGGGCAGAAAAAGTGAATTCCTGGTTTCAAAGCTTCAAAGGATAGGCTAACTCTTCTGTTAGTGGTTAATGCAGCTGGTAATTTATAGTTCAAGCCAATGCTCAATTACCATTTGGAAAAATCCTAGTGCTCTTCAGAATTATGCTAAATTTACTGTGCTTATGCTCTATAAATGAAAAAAAAAAAATAAAGCCTGGCTGCAGCACATCTGTTTACAGCATGATTTGCTGAATATTTTAAGGCCACTGTTGGGAACTACTGCTCTGAAAAAAAATTCTTTTCAAAATATTACTACTCATTCATTGTCAATGCACCTGGTCACGCAGCTCTGATGGAGATGTACAAGGAGACTGATGTTTTCATGCCTGCTGACAATATCCATTCTGTAGCCCACAGATCAAGAAGTTAAGTTCAACTTCTAAGGCTTATTTCTTATTATTTAAGAAATACATATATTACTTTATTGATTAGAACTAGATATAAAATTCTTGTATGAAATGTGGGACTATCTTTAACTCATGTAAACTTTCAGAGGTGGAGTGATGGGGCAGGACATTCTTTCTTATAGAGCAAGAGCCACATATAACAAGAGCATAATGTATCTGAATTTTTACCACTTCTGTAGAGGAAGAAGGAGGAGTGGCTTGCATCTATAGCAACAGACACAGGGCCTTTACTGGCCACAGCTTCTTTCAGGGCCTCTTCACTGCCAAAGGGAAGTTCAGTATACTTTGAACATGTAGCAGCACGATTTTTTGAGTCATATTGGCACTTTTCATCCTGCAAAAACAAAGAACTATAAATCTGATAAAAATGTAGACTTCCTTTCCTTTTTTTTTTTTTTATTTTTTTTGAGACAGAGCCTCAAGCTGTCCCCCTGGGTAGAGTGCCGTGGCATCACAGCTCACAGCAACCTCCAACTCCTGGGCTCAAGCGAGTCTCCACCTCCACTTCCCAAGTAACTGGGACCACAGGCGCCCACCACAACACCTGGCTAATTTTTGGTTGCAGCCGTCATTGTTGTTTGGCAGGCCTGGGCTGGATTCAAACCCGCCACCTTAGGTGTATGTGGCTGGCGCCTTAGCCACTTGAGCCACAGGTGCGGAGCCCTAAGTCTAGATTTTAAATACGTTTTATTTCCTCACTTTAGCCTTTGCAAGCGCCTAAAGCTCCTTCTCTTTTTAGAGAAAGAAAAATAGAATCTTCCAAATCCTAACCATCCCTGTTCTCACTAATAACAGAAGAAATACAGAACTATTCTATTGTTTTAAATTGTGAACCTCTTCATTCATGCAAAACTTGCCAGGACAATGTCCCCTTAGACCCTAAGGTGGACTGCAGGGGCGCAGCACAGAGATCACAACTCCAGATGAGAGCTTTACAGTCTTTTTGGTCATATGAGGCCTACAAGATGATCTACCGTTAACATGATGGTTTATAGGCAGCGCCTGTAGCTCAGTGGGCAGGGCGCCAGCCACATACACGCAGGCTGGCAGGTTTAAACCTGGCTCAGGCCAGCTAAACAATGACAACTGCAACAACAACAACAAAAAAAATAGCTGGGCATTGTGGTGAGCACCTATAGTTTCAGCTACTTGGGAGGCTGAGGCAAGATAATCTCTTAAGCCCAAGAGTTTGAGGTTGCAGTGAGCACTCTACTGAGGGCGACATAGTGAGACTCTGTCTCAAAAAACAAAAAAAGGAGAACCAAGAGATGAACCCAGCTACTTACCATCATTTGATCTTTAATAAGCCAATCAAAAACATTCAGTGGGGAAAAAACTCCCTATTTAACAAATGTGCTGGGTGAACTGGCTGGCAACCTATAGAAGACTGAAACTAGACCCATACCTTTCACCATTAACAAAGATAGACTCTCACTGGATAAAAGATTTAAACTTAAGACATGAAACTATAAAAATACTAGAAGAAAGTGCAGGGAAAACACTTGAAGAAATCGGTCTGGGAGAATGTTTTATGAGGAGGACCCCCCAGGTAATTGAAGCAACACCAAAAATACATTACTGGGATCTGATCAAACTAAAAGGCTTCTGCACAGCCAAGAAAACAGTATGTAAAGCAAGCAGACAGCCCTTAGAATGGGAGAAGATACTTGCAGGTTATGTCTCTGACACGGGTTTAATAACCAGAATCCACAGAGAACTCAAACGTATTAGCAAGAAAAGAACAAGTGATCCCATCTCAGTGTGGGCAAGGGACTTGAATAGAAACTTCTCTGAAGGAGACAGGCACACAGCCTACAGACACATGAAAAAAAGCTCATCATCTTTAATCATCAGAGAAATGCAAATCAAAACCCTTTGAGATATCATCTAACTCCAGTAAAATTAGCCCACATCACAAAATCTCATAACCATAGATGTTGGTATGGATGTGGAGAAAAGGGACCACTTCTACACTGCTGGTGGGAATGCAAACAAATACATTCCTTTTGGAAAGAATTTGGAGATCCCTTAGGGATCTAAAAATAGACCTGCCATTCGATCCTGCAATTCCTCTACCAGGTATATATCCAGAAGACCAAAAATCACTTTATAACAAAGATATTTGGGTGGTGCCTATGGCTCAGTGGGTAGGGCACTGGCCCCATATACTGAGGGTGGTGGGTTAGAACCCCGTCTGGGCCAAACTGCAACAAAAAATAGCCCAGTGTTGCAGCCGGTGCCTGTAGTCCCAGCTACTCAGGAGGCTGAGGCAAGAGAATCACCTAAGCCTGGGAGTTGGAGGTTGCTGTGAGCTGTGGCACCATGGCACTCTACCGAGGCAACAAGGTGAAACTCTGTCTCCAAAAAAAAAGATATTTGCACCAGTATGTTTACTGTAGCCCAATTCATAATTGCTAAGTTGTGGAAGAAGGCCAAGTGCCCATCAACCTACAAATGGATTAATAAATTGTGGTATATGTACACCATGGAATATTATGCAGCCTTAAAAAAAGATGGAGACTTTACCTCTTTTATGTTTACATGGATGGAGCTAGAACATATTCTTCTTAGCAAAGTATCTCAAGAATGGAAGAAAAAGTATCTAATGTACTCAGCCCTACTATGAAACCATACTTCTATATGAAAGCTATAACCCAACTACAGCCCAAGATGAATGAGAAAGAAGAGGGGTGGAGGGGGGTAGGATGGGTAGATGGAGGGTAATTGGTGGGACCACACCTATGGTGCATTTTACAAGGGTACATGTTAAATCTACTAAGTGTAGAATATAAATCTTAACACAATACTTAAGAAAATGAGGTGAAGGCTATGTTAACCAGTTTGATGAAAGTATTTCAAATTATATGTAAAACCAGCACATTGTACCCCATAATTGCATTAATGTACACAGCTATGATTTAATAATAATAATAATAAATTAAACAAAAAAAGCCTCGGCACATGTGGCTCAGCAGCTAGGGCACCATTCACATAATACCGGAGCTGGTGGGTTCAAATTCAGTCCCGGCCTGCCAAACAACAATGACAACTATAACCAAAAAATAGCTGGGCATTGGGCAGGCACCTGTAGTTCCAGCTAATTGGGAAGCTGAGGCAAGAGAATGGCTTAAGCCCAAGATTTAGAGGTTGCTGTGAGCTGTGACACATGGCACTCTACCAAGGGTGACATAGTAAGACTCTATCTCAAAAAAACAAAAATAAAAACAAACAAACAAAAAGCCATGATGGTTTACAAAGCCCATATAAAATAGAAAACATTCATATTGTAAGCAGGAAAAGGGAGGTTACAAATTCACGCTTGTTGTATGTACCACTATGTTTTTTCAGTTGCTTACAAGGAAAAGAACTCAAAGGAAATAACCAAAATAATAGTGGTTAAGGTAGGGGGGTTTTGAACAATATTTTTCTATTTTCTAAGTTTTCTATAGTATGGACATAATACTTAGATCATTTAACAAAATGTGTGATGAACTTGTGAGAAGGAAGAAAGTAGGTGTAAGAATGATGGTTCATCTGAGAATAAGCCATGGGAGGCTGCAGGAGAAAAAAATTTATAAACCTACAGAAATAATTTTAAGGACAGTTTGCTTAAAGCCCTTTTTTTAAGCATGAATACTACTGGTTTGTTTAAAAACATTGTGCTGGCCAGGTGTGGTATCACCCTAGGAGGCCGAGGTGGGTAGATCCCTTGAGCTTAGGAGTTCGAGACCAGCCTGAGCAAGGGTAAGACCCCATCTCTACTATAAATAGAACAACTAGCCAGGTATTATGGTGGGTGCCTGTAGTCCCAGCTGCTTGGGAAGCTCAGGCAAGAGGATTGCTTGAGCCCAAGACTTTGAGATGGCTGTGAACTATGACACCACAGCACTCTACCCAGTGACTGAGTGAGACTCTGTCTTGAAATAAATACATACATACATAAACAAAATTGAAATAAAAATAAGAACGTTGTGCTACTGATACATTAGGAGGGGCACTGCATAAGAAAGAGACCTCTTGAGAATTTCAGATTGGGATTCTCTCACACACACAACACTGCTTTAAGTAATTGCGTTGGTCCAGTGTGCCCAGTCAATGGATAGCATGAAGTCATAAGGCAGCACAAAATGTTTGCTTGTGACACACCATGGCTTTGTAGGGATAAGAAGCTTCTGAATCGATGCCGTTGTTATCAATGATGTACTGGAAGGCCTCTGTCATGAAGCCACCATGGCAGCCTTCATTCCTATACTTTTCAGTTGAGCAATCCACCAGGTTCTGTGCACTGAGAGACACCAGCTTTCCTGTTGTCAGCTTTAGCTGCGCTTCCAAGGCCCCCACAGCACTGAAAGCCCAGCAAGAACCGCAAGAACCCTAAAACAGACACAAGTTCAGAGAGACAGTCACAGAAATTCAGTGGAGATGACTTCCATGGCACAGACTGGACCACTCCCAACTGCGTCCACCCTGTCAGCAGTTCTCAGGAAGAGCTCCCCACTGCAACTTCCTTCGCTCTTAGACAATGGGAATGAAGACTAAATGCTTGCCTGTTCTCTGGGCAAAGTCCAACCTTGATGGAGATTTGCAAATGGCTAAGCTTGGAGCATAATGACCATCTTCAAATATATTAACAAATAGTACTCAGTAAGCATGTCCCAAATCCCACCTACTTTCACCTGTAAGTAAGGGAGATAGATGCCTACAGTAAAGTGATTTTTTTTTTCCTGAGGCAGAGTCTCACTCTGTTGCCCCAAGCTAGAGTGCCATGTGTCAGCCTAGCTCACAACAACCTCTAACTCCTGGGTTTAAAAGATCCTCCTGCCTCAGCTTGCCAAATAGCTGGGACTACAGGCGCCCACCGCAATACTCAGCTAATTTTGTCTGTTTTTAGTAGAGATGGAATCTTGCTATTTGCTCAGGCTGGTTTCAAACTCCTGAGCTCAAGTGATCTTCCTGCCTTGGCCTACAGTAAAATACTAAGGCCTATAGTAAAATGATTTTGAGAGAAGCTAGGATGATTTCTTTGACCTAAAATGCACTTCCTCCTGCTAAATGATGCCTGAAACATTTGCTTTCATCCTAGGTTAGCATTTTTCAAACCTTGTGATCCTCAGAATTTTTTTCTTTGGTAGGGGTCGAATTTGAACCCACCACCTCCGGTATATGGGGTCAGCACCCTACTCCTTTGAGCCACAGGTGTTGCCCTATCCTCAGAATTTTTTGATCGAAAGATATTTTATAAGAAGGTACAAGAAATAGCAAAATACACAGCTACTTTTAATTTTAAAAAGCACAAAGGGCTGGGCGTGGTAGCTCACACCTATAATCTTAGCATGCTACGAGGCACAGGCAGAATGGCCTGAGCTCAGGAGTTGGAGACCAGCCTGAGCAAAGCAAGACCTACTAAAAATAGGACAAGTATCCAGGTGCCATGCCAGGTGCCTGAGGTCACAGCTACTCAGGAGGCAGAGGCAAGAGGACTGCTTGAGCCCAGGAGTTTGAGGTTGCTGTGAGCGAGGTTGAGGCCATGAAAAGTTAGCCCAGGAAAAAATTAAATTAAAAAGTCCAGAGGATCCAGAGCCCCATCATACATGTTTTTTTCTCTCTCTCTATCACTTTATTGAGTCTTCCCAAGCTTTTATTTTAGAGAAGCTTGGGTTGGACATCCAAAGTTAGTTGAAAGAAAAATGATGCCGGTGGAAAAGAATAAGAGATTATCAGTACCATTCACTTTTTTTTAACTCTTTCATTAGATTTTTCTTCCTGAGCATACCATTT